AGTTATATGTAGGGAGAGGTTATGGCAACCAAATTCTGAAGGTTTGCTTCTTCATTAATAAAACAGAAAATTAACATTTCACATTCCAGACAGAGGCATTTAATCTGTTTTTAATACATGCACTTCTTTACAGAGCCATAAAAGGAATGATGCCTTCAAGCACTCGCAGTTTGATTTTTTTGGTGCTCATTAGTGATTCAGAAACACACACAACTCTTCCGGACAGAAGGGGCTTCTGGTAATGGAGTTCATCACTACATTCACTTACCTGCTATTTGAGTAACAGCTGATTTCAGTTTTTAAATCAGAGGATCAAATTTGCAAGGAATAGTATGTTAAAACAACATCGGAAAGCAAATACATGAAGTCTGATCACTGCTTCATTTCCTAATCTATACAGATGTTAATTTCAAAGAAGGGAAGAATATTTCTAAAGTTTATTAGTGCCTGTAGAGTAATACATAATGGCAACTAACAAGAAATCCATCTTTCCAAAACCAGTAACATATGGAGACTGTAAAAACAAGCAGCTATGTTTATAACTGAAAGCTAGCTTGAAGGCTGGAGTCCCTGAAACATCTACCAAGTCTGGCTAGCTAAGGTCCAACCACCTTCTTCCAAGACCTTTATGAATACCCCCTCAACAAAGTGTTTTTGAACTTGAAACTCAAGAAAAGCATGCAATTTCACAGTAATTAAGAATTAACATTCCCAACTTAAATCATACAAGCAAATCTCACAAACGGAAAGGCACAGGTCAGCAGCTGCCAATTCAAACATGGGCATGCCGATTCCGGTGGTCCAGCCTCACTTCTGGTGAATAAAACTTAACTGTTTCCCCTGTGTCATTTTGAACTATTAGCAAGCAGTGACACTGCGGCAACGTAGTTTAGAGTCATATCTTTGAACTGGCTAAGAAACTCAGAAATCACGATACATTGCCAACAGAGCCTTTCAAAAGACTAAAACAAGTGTGTCAAGGACTCAAGTGAGTATGACATGGTCTGAAACACTGCAGGTCAAAAAAGGACACATTTTTGTATTTCTTCTTTAACAGTCAGGAACCCTCCAACAAGACATTGATTAAAACTGAAATAATGGGAAACTACACAGGTTATTAGCATGAAATGAAAGCATGTTCCTCTTCAAAGAAATACAGTTTTATACAAGTACAGGCATGTTTAAGTCAATGCTAATGAAAATAGCAGTTCAAAGCAGAAAAAGTTTTTAGTGTAAGAGTTCTGCTGTGCTACAACTGGGTAAATGATTATAACAAAGATGGTAACCACACCAGAGAACTGACAAACTAAGGTTACAATAAAACGCAATTGGTAGATAAAATCGTAACTGCAGACAATTTAAAGAAGAGTAAAGCTAACAGTGAAATGTATTTGCATAATTAGTTCATTCTATTGTCGTTATGACCAAGATTTTCTGAAACTACAAATGTTAAACATGAACAATTTGTTAAGTATCTTCAATTTTTATGCTTGTTTTCCCGGTGGGAAAAATGCCTCAGTAGCTTAGAGGTGAAATCTGTAACAATAACCACAGTAAAAAAACTCCATACTAGCTATTAGTCAAACAGCTGCCACTTCATACTAGAATAGGCTGATCAAATTCTGACAGTTCTGAGCTCTGTAACTTTTTTTTCTACATTTCTTCCCAATTTGTTGTCCTCACAAATCTGTGTTGAGAGACATAACACAAGCAGCTTGACTCCAGCTGGAATGGCAAGCAAAACAGTCTCTCTGGAGCCAGTACTTCCAAAGATGCTCCCAAATATGCTCATACATTCATTTCACTCAAAGAAGTAAAATGAATGTACAAGGAGTCACAATGTGTTTCTCTACCTATGTGAAATGTACACAAACTACTGACCCGGTCCCATTTCTCTCCACATTCACCTATAGCAAACCTGAAATCACGGCTGCACTTCTGAAGGTCAATTCCCTAGCATTACTGCAGCACATTCCAAAAGGCTGATATCAACATTCCTTCCTAGAGAGCTTGATATTGGATTGGTGACTGAAATGAAGAAGGTAGGTGGCGTGTAGAAGGAGTTGTTAAACAGCTGGCAACATCTGTGTTTCAGCTATTATCACACAACATTTACTAACTATGGCCAAAATATTGAGCAATTTTTAGACTTGTAGCAGTTTCCACATTCGTTTTATTTCCTCCGATCTCTTTTCAGCAAAAAATGGTAGTCACAAAAAGAGAGAGTAGAAAATACAATTAGGTAATACCAATCATTTACTATTTCTTTTCTATCAAGATTAGGCTTCTGACAGTTCAGAATGCCTTCTATTTTGAAGCATCTAGCTCAACAGTTAGCAGGAATAGAAATGCATAAAACAGAAAATCTTGGTAGCTTCTTCCAAGCTTATCCACACTGTAAGTCATAAAACTCTCAAATCACTTTGAGTAGGTCTTAATTATATCAAATATAAACTTACGCTAATGATAATATCACAGAAATCCAAAATCATCACCTGTTATATTCCTTAATAGTGGTAATTTGTTTCCCTGATGTTTTCTTATCCTGCAGCTAGTCAGCAAATAGAAACAACACGGCAGCATGAAGATGCATACTATATAAACACCATGATGTAAATAACAAATTAAGAATTCTGAAGAGATCTCTATAAAAATGTTAATTAATTTAAATAATTTAATTTTCTAGTTTACTGCTAGTGATTTACAAACAACTAGCTCTGTCCAGATTGAAAAGAAAGACTAATCTAAAATTTACCTCAGTAAATTATTCTATACAGATTTGAGATAGAAGAGATGAAGCTCCATGGGACAAGAGAATAGTAGCTTAATTTCTTACTGATGCATATGTGGACTCAGCTAACTTCAGTCAACATAAGTACGTATGTAACTCATCCTACGTACTCCCTAGAATGCCCCATAGAATGTGGTACCTGTCCAAGCCTGGAATACTTGAATTTTGCAAGTCGTAAGTTAAGATCTGAATTTTTTTTTTTCATTTTAGATACATAAACAGCCTTACTGACTCACAATATAGGAGACTTAAATCCATAGAATCATTCCTATGAATAAAATACTAAATACTAATATTATCAATATATTAATAAATGTTAATATTAAATATTAAATATTGGGCCTACAAGAAAGCTGGGTGCCTACCAGAAAGCTGGAAAGCAATGTTTTACAAGGGCATGGAGTGACAGGACAAGGGGCAATGGCTTTAAACTGGAAGAGGGAAGATTTAGATTAGGTATTAGGCAGAAATTCTTCACTGTAAGGGCAGTGAGGCAGTGGCACAGGTTGCCCAGAGAAGCTGTGGATGCCTCATCCCTGGAAGTGTTCAAGGCCAGGGTGGATGGGGCTTTGAGCAAGCTGTTCTTGTGGAAGGTACCCCTTCCCATGGCAGCAGGGTTGGAACTGGATGATCTTTAAGGTCTCTTCCAACCCAAAGCATTCTATGATTTTATGAAATGGCACCTGGGTTTGTGTCTACCTGAAGTAAAGCAAAAATAGCTGGATCCTGAGTTCACTCATCTCAAAAAACTGGCATCACTCCAATTACTTCATGGCATAAATTATTATGTCCCTACATTCTTTCAAAATCTGGTGAGTCAGGTGATCAAAAACAGCAGTGGATTTTGTGCTCATACTTCTTCAAAATAATTTGTTTATGAAACAGACACTGACACTCAGTGCTGGATATGAAATACTTCTTTTTTGATGTATAAGAAACTGACCTTTCCAAAGACCATTAATTTTTATATGTGATTGTGAGTTCTGTGTATTCGATAGATGTTCAAAATTTTGCTTCTGAAATACCTATATATATATACAGATATTGCATTTCAAAGCTTCACCCTCCATAAACTTATATACAAAGATTTATGTGAAATAAACTCTCTAAAACAAACAAGCAAAAAACCCGTATCAACAAACTGTTAAAGGGAAACTAGGATAAATTCAAATAAACTCATTTAAAAAGTCACACTGTGTTGCTAAATACAGTAATAACTTAATAAAAGCAAGAATAAAGGCCAGGAAAGCCACCTGCAAAACTTAATTTCTTAAATGCTAAGACAAGAAATTTCTGCTGCATTGCCTTGGGTCAGAAGAAACACACCAGCACTTAACCATGTCTTGCAACAGTACATTGATTAATTCACAAAATTTTAACACACAAATGAAAAAAAAAATCCTTCTATCTAGTTGATACAACAAACGGAGTTTGCAAACTGAAAGATTACCCAAATTAAAACCTGTGTGGTTATAAGGCTGTAGAGTTTACATCCCTGCTCTCCTGACACTTTCTAATAAGCACAGACAACCATAATATTAAATTGAATCCTACCTGAAAACCTACACTTTCAGCAGCCAGTTCATCCTAGTACTACACTAAACCACAGTTCAGTTCCAATTCAGAGGAAAGAATCAATCTTCAGGTGAAATTACATGAGATCAGTGAGCCTTAAAGGTCCTGCTCTTCTTCTCTGATCCTAGCCACATGGCACCATTCCTCAGATCAGCTATGCACATTTGTGAAACCCTTCACTGCATATGAAGCCGCATAAAGCCAGATAGTTATCTGTGCATTAGTGAGCTGAATGCATTCACAGAAGGTATCCAACAAAGGACAGGAAAAAAAATTCAAGATGGAAGGTGAGCCCTCTCCTATTTTGCATCAGAAAGGCAGTAGATTAGCTTTTAGTTTCTTATCAATATAATTTTCTAAAGAATGTGGGAAAGAAAAATCCTGAAAACACCTAAGTACCAACCTTGCCCAACTCTGCTCACAATAGCTTGTGAAATCCGATAGGATCAAAGAATGGCATAAGACTGTAGGCTGTATACAGGTTGGAAGACAACTTTATGGCTATAAATAGTAACAAGCACGTTTAACACACAAACACCTTTAAACAGTTTGTTTTTAGGGCAAACCAACAACTACATTAAAACCAAAAGGATTTTATTGACAAAACTAAATTAGACAAAATGCATTAACTTACTGAATCCAGAAAGCAGAGATAGGTTCCTGAGCTCTGAATTACTGCTTGATTTTTAGCAAATCCAACTGTTGAGAAAACAAAGATAAAATTACGTGGTAGTTTTTACCTTTGTATTTTTTTAAATCTTACTACAGTCAGGAACAGATGAAAGGAAATACGAAAATCAGTATCAGGCAAATATGCCATTCTTCCATATTTAAAACGAGGTAATTTGTAAATATTTAAATAGTATGCCTATTTCAGTCTTCTCCTCTGAGTAATTATCAGTTGTACATGTTAGAACTCTACTATCAAACTGAATTAGAGTACTTTTTCTAGCCCTCCAAAAAGACATAATATGTAATATGCATCTTGAAGAGTCTAGCTACCTAGGTTTCACATCCAGTACCTCAGATCACAGAATGGTTTGGGTTGGAAGGGATCTTTAAAGGTCATCTAGTCCAAACCCCTGCAACAAGCAGATGCTGAAAACCCTTGGCTGTATATACATTCATCTCTTAAGTCATAACAAATAGTAACAAATCATAAAAAGGCAAAGAGAGAAAAAGAGATTGCTAGGCAATTTGTTCTTCCCATCAGGGGGTCAGGTCCTCAGAAGGACTCAAAAAAAAGTTCTGTTAGGCTTGTTAAATATAAAGTATGCAAATACAAAAACTTCATGCGTCATTTATATAATGGCACATGCAATGCAGAGGGGAGCCAGAGCAGAAGAATACATGGACAAGGAGCACAAACCTGGCTTATTTATACCATAACATGTTATACCACCTATGGAAGACCACACTGAAACACAAATTCAGTCAAATTACAACATTGGCATTAGGGTCTTCTAGTTTCTGATCCCCTGACACTTGTTGAATCTTTTACCCAGCCATTTCAGGAAGTCGAACCAGAAGAAAACTTTTTTGTGAGCTTAATTTCTGAAGCAGATAACAACACTGCAGGGTCAAACAAATGGCAGAGACAGAAAAAAAAAAATAAATAGGGGGAGCAGTAATACACAGCGAAGGGTAAGGATGGGACTGCAGCAACCAGCAGTAAGATGAACTCATCTTTCCACTGAAATACATCTGCAAGGTAGGAGTGTTTACCTGGGATAATTTTTGTATGTAGACAAGGTCTACCTAAGAACATTCTGGTCTTTGAATTCTTCTCCTGGGCAGCATTATAATAAAGACCATGCTATATCCAGTGTTGCTCTGAAAAATGCTGTATGAATTCCACTTGGTCACATACATAACATTTAAGGTTTTTTAAAAGTATCTACGGAACCAAGTCAGGGAGTCCAGCAAAAGATTGATCTGACATGCAAACCAAATGATGTAAAGATATGCAATACTGTGGGGTTTTTATTCTTTAATGGGAAAACTGGAAACATAAAGTCAGAAAATCTCACCATGAAGTGGAGCAAGATAATTTTAAATAATAATATGCCTAAAGTTCCTGATCTTGCATTTGAAAAAAGCAGACTTCTGCAATTCTCTACTCTTTTTATGTGATACAGGTTTAAGTTTGCTCAGGAAACAAATTTAACTGGGCTCAAAGGTTCACTTAGTTTTAACGCACATGCTCCTTGGCTATTTTGCCAAGTTGTCCAAGTACAGAAAGAGACTTATGACTGCATTTCTTACTGCCTCAAAGGAACATTATGTCAACTACCAGTAGAACACTACTAATAAAGGCTCTTCCTTATAATTGTGTTATTTTCTTATATATTTTGAGTATTTTAATCCTCACCTTAACTTCTCCTCATCATAGATTTCTTGGATTTATTAACTTACAGTATATTTACATACTACTTTTTATACACATATGAATATCTAATCTCACATATACAGTTACTCTCATTCTCCTTCCCGTTGGCAGTAAAAAAGCAGCTGGCAAAGTCAGTAGCTACCACAACAGTAGAGCTGAATCCTGGCATGAGTAGTTTTAGTGGGAAACAATCGATGCAAGTTAGCAGGTCTGGACATGCCAAACAAGCAAAACCCTAATACCTTGGAGGTCTTTACTAAAGCAAGAGGTAAAAGAACAGGACAGAACTAAATTTGCCCAACATCAATCAAATCAATACTCTCCTACATCATTGCCAGTTGTAAAGCAGCCTGTACTTACATTTGAATTAGTATACCCCAATATTTCAACAATCTTCAGGAGAAAATAACGAAGTACTAGGAATCAATAATGTAGGAAAAAAGTGAAAGAGACTCAAAGGCAACTACAAGATGACAATTATGTTACTCCATGCACTTCCTGAAATATTTCAGATCTCGTTTGCAAATAAACCACTTTAAATAAAATAATGAAATATTTAATACTTGTTACAAGAAAGAGTTGGAAAATATTTCTTTCTAATCTTAAGGCAGAAACCATCCTGAAGCATTTCATATACCAGCTATTTTTTTAGAGGGGAGAGAAGAAAACACACATATTTTAAAAATTATTAATAAGAGAGATACAACTCCCCATAGAAGAAACTAGATATTAAAAACTGTTTCACCACAACAAATCCTATGTTTGGCATGAGTAAAAAATTTTCTTTAATATTACTTTACAGAACAAAATCAAATGTTTGTGCCAGGTCTCTGAGTTTTGTAAGGCCTGCTTACTTGGTGAAAAGAGCCTGTTACCATGGTTACAGCCGTAAAAACTTAAGCCTCAGTGAGATATTAACATTCCTCACTCTTGGAAAGAAAAAGGTTTCCTTTTTTTAGGCAAGTGACCCTTTCTTTTTTTCTAGGTTTCCCCCTTTTCTTTTACATGTTAGAAAAGAATCAGAAATAAATCCTAATCTTGTGTAAATAGTTGAAGATGTGAAGGCTGACTAGTACATTGTTTCTGTACTAAAGCATCCTCTTTTAAAGGAAAGACTCCTTACAGTTGTAACTAGTCCTTAACACAATAAAAGTAAATCACTGAAAGCAAACAAATACTATGGATTTCAAGTAACCTGCTCCTAAAATGTAACAACTGTGAAGAAAAGATGTCCTCATTTTAAAGGTGACCCGAGAGTGACTTCCACATCAATAAGCTTGGTTTTGTTTTTTTAAAACAACTATGCATTTCATACTATTATTTAAAACAATGCCCACAGCTGCATCCCCCACTCCCAATTTATTGAAGATTTGTTCAGGTTTCATCTACCTGACAAATGCATGTTAAAACAAAAAATTATCTGACATATCCCTAATGGCACAATACACTCCTTGTAGTTCACAACTCGAACTTAGCTTTAGGTTCAGTCTCCTGAAATGCAAAAGTGAACGGACTTCAGAATTCTAACATAAATTATTGTCAAAACATTGCACCTGTGTGCTCTTGCAAACTAAAAACTAGTTTACACACAATTAATACGACACTATTAGGAACAAGACTTTATACACAGAAAGTGTTTTATAAAAATGGAAAATACATTATATAACAAGATGGTATTAACAAAAGCATTACTAACCAACATTCCCAAGTATCATAATTAACAACCTCTCATATTATTATTTGACTTGAGAAATTGCAACCTACTTAGCTTCTAGATCATCAGCTACTAAGAGAAGTAAGATCTGAAAGGAGACTCATCACCCAATTGCTGGTGGGGAGGGGGGCAAAAAGAAGATAGCTAAATTTCCAGGAATACAAGCAATTCTTGACATTGCTCAACTCCAGCTTTATCAGTTGCCCAAAAAAGAAAAATTCCCTCTACAAACTAGGTCTGTCTTTTGTCATCAACAGCTCAATAATACTAATACTACAAGTTCTCAAAACAACACCGGTTCATGCTAGAGATATTAAAATACTAGAAATATTTATAGTAACAGTCATGCTGTGTTACTTCAGTATTGCTAGGCCTGACAACTGCTTAAAACACAGCTTTAAAGAAGTCTATAGTCAAAAGAAACGACAGTAAATAAAGCCAGGGGCCTATACCAAGTTCCAGATGAATTCAGTGCACAAGCTCCAATTTATTTGCATGTCTCAACAAGGGGATGAAAATTAAGACTTCTGAAACAGAACCAGGTTTTTTCATAGTAAGATCATTTTGAGGAGACAGTAATAAGCCTAGGTTTCTTTCCAGTTACAAACAGAACATTTTGCTAAAAACCAGAAACTGGCCAGATTTTGTGTTACGGTGTTGCCAAAGTGCGCCTTTTATGCAAGATAACTTGAGAGACACAAACTTGGAACCAATTTTACATCAATTCCTACCTGTCTACTCATTGTCACAAAATCCAGAATGATAGAAACATTAGGTATACAGCTCCCATACAAAATGTGTGCACACTGTTTTGCTTGCTTTGTTCTGTTGTTTTCCTTTAGAACACAATCTTCCAAATTCAATGCCATTCAACACCAGCTTCTTCAAAGAGCAACGTACTTTTTATTTCTATTTTACATTTTAGCAAGCTGTCTGCTAAAATACCCTAAACATAAAACAACCAAAACAAGCAAAAGAAAAACTGTTAGAGAGATTTGTTTGTTATCTCCTCCAGTGGGTAAATGTAATTCATATTAGCATGTAGATCAATAGGGAATCCCACCATACACCTATCTGGTAGCTCACTAAACATACTGGGTTAGCCCTTTGTGTAAATACTTAGGAGTTTAGTGAGACTTTTTAGCTCACATCAAAACTTTTCTGAAACCTCTGTTTTGATCTGATCATCAAAGGGATATCAAAAACCTATTTTGTTCTGTTTCAGGGTCTATCCTACAATACTGAAAGATATGCATTTACTTTTTAAATCTTTATGTAAGAAATTTTGGATTTCTTTTTTCTTAAAACCCATCTCCTGAAGATAAAGTAGATATCAGAAAGCCACAGTAAAATTGTAATCATTAACAATATTGCACATACTACAATTAAACAAAATTCTTTCGCAGAGTAGAGCACAAGTGTTAAGCCAAGTTCTTCTTTCCTGCACACATAAACCAATTCTACAGAGTCAAAACTAACAGGACAAAATTCTAAATTGGAATGAGTTTTTGAACAGAGAGCTCTGGAAAACAATGTTTTTTCCCATTGCAATGCAAGTGGCTACAAAGACATTTTTCAAACTAAAAAACAGAAGATGCCTGCAATAACAACTTAACTCTCAAAAAATCACTATTAAGCTACATACCACCTCGAGGTTGAGATGAATCATTACTACCAATGATTACTGGAACACCAGCATCTTCCAACTTGACCTTCCATTTTTCAATTATTTCAGCTGAACCATCCTAGAAAAATGATGACACGGATGCAGCTATTTTAACTTGTATGGTGAACCAAACAGTCCAAAAGTAAAAATTCCTATCAGAAACAGTATTTACTTGGACAGTATTTACAATAAGGTGTGAAACATACCTTACTGGCATCGTTAAAAATTGACAGCTCCATAGTTCCTTTAAAATCTTGTTCCCAAACCGACTTCAAGCATTCATCTAACCAGCATTCACTATTGTGAACAGGCACAATGACAGACTACAAAAAAACCAAACAAAAATCCAAATGTATGTCAGTAAGCATTATTTTTGTTTACTTACAGTATGAAAATATTCATTTAAAACGGGAAGTGCCAGATCCTTCTGAAACTAACTTTAACCAAAAAAAAATAAATCTTAAAAATATAAAAGTAGGCAAAGATCCTTTGTTTTCATTATAAATATATGATTTGCTTTGTTCTCTACCAAACTTTTTTTCCATTTTTTCCAGTTCTACAAGATGGCTTTTGGTGGCTCTCCTAAGGAAACAAAAGAGACTACTGAGCCAAAAAGGCTAACAAAACATCTATATCACCACACTAACCTGTTCTTGCATTTCTTACGACACTCTTTACTTTCATCTTCCATTAACGTATCTTGCTCACCAGTTTTTCTTGTAGCTTACTACCTAACTGGAGATGCTTATATATGAAGCCTATACCCTTGGGCTCTAGCGAAGTCTTTAAAAATTATTCTATCTAAAACTGGTATTAAGCACATTAGAAGATGACAGATGACATAGTTCCATACTCTACCATTTCAATTGCAGGCTTTCCTATTTTAGCCCCTATTGCTTCAGCCACATACATGCAAACCATGAAAACCTATCTGAAATATTTAAAAATTGGTTAGAAACCAGAGATGAGGGATTTCTCTGTTCAGTTACTCACCACTGTTCTAACTGGCCCCCAAAAGCCAACAACCTCCCCCAAATACTTTCAGCATGTCAAAAAAAGAATACATTCCATTCACAGAATGCAAAGTCCTAAGAAATTAGCACAGTAATACTCTGGCTATGTTTGAAAAGGTAGAGTCCAAACCCGTACCTGCTAAGATCACTTATAGATGGGGAACTTAAGGTAAAGAGCCTAAGTAACTTGTAAAAAGTCTCATGGGACATTTTAAGAAGTTCCCAGAAACAGAACTTAAACTCCTTATCGTGTGGTGTAACCATAAACGCATAGTTTGAAGAAAGAGAGGATTAGTTCCTACCATGAGCATGTAAGAATCTTAAGAAACAAAATACCAGAACACTGAAATTGAATTATTCAAGATTTAGTGACATCTAGGCACGTGTACATTGTGCAAATACATGCAAATGCATACATTAGTAGGCAGATTTTGTGGACACTGAGGACTGTATTTTTTGTTCTTTACTGAGTATGATGTACGTACACGCAGTTATTAGAGAGTATGATGTATGGTACAATGATTAACAAATAAACTTAACATTTCACTGCAAAACAAAAAAAACCTATATTTGTCCAATACAAATGAACATCCTGATTTTTTGCAGGATGCTGTAACAGGCAAAAGGAGTTTTTAAAAGAAGTAGGAGGAAAGCTATCTAAAATTTTAAGCAAAGCAGGTCTTTGACTTCTGTTTTGGAGAGATAAATAAATAAAATAAGGAGAAATAAAAAATAAAAATGTGAAACTGATTACTAAATAATTAGAGTTACAACTTATAGAGAAAAAAGATTTTCAGAACTGTCTCAGATTAGTACTTTGAGACTAAAAAAAATAAGCAAAAATCTGACATTCTAAACCAATATATTCAATTTACTCGGGATTTTAATATCCTTTATGTCTAGATGGTAATTCAAATACAACCATATATATTCATCCTAATCAATCTAACATTCACTCAGAAAGACAAGGGTTTTCCATTCTTCCAATGACAATACAAACTAGCTACAGTTTTGCACATCCAGAAAAATCAATGATTTTCCAATTTGTTTTCTAATTAACTCAGTAAAAATTTGACTATGCCATCACAAACTAGCTTGATATTGGCCTGAAAACTGTAAAACTGGAACTTGGGTTTTTTTCATAATGAACTCCTGTTTTAAGTCAGGAGAGCAGTACAAAATATGAACATTATGTCCGGACTTGTCTCTTTAGTTTGAACTGAAAACAGAAAAAACACTACTTTAATGGCAGTACATATAAAACAATCTATAAATACCTGATGGCACTGAGGCACTCTGAACTCAACACAGTAACTCATAATATATTAGCATGCCCCTAAATACATTACTGTAAGCAAGTTCCACTTCCACAGAACTCTCACAACAGTGTTGAACTAGATGCCTGCCAAAATGTGGTACCGAGCTACGTTGCTGATGGCACTTCTGTGTGAAACCTGAAAATTTAACAAATCCATACAAATAACCGTACACAGCAATATGGTTAAAATATCAGAGTACTGCTAACATTGTATACTAAAGGTTCCTTAGGTTCTACCACTCTTACACACTTTACCGTTTCTGTGTTCAGTTGTTTGGGTTTTTTTACACCAAATATAAATTAAAAGCACCGCAGAGCTAAACTGTCATTTCTCCCTAGTTCATTTCTACATTTGTAGCCTGGCTTAAAAGTTGCAGTTGTCCTCAACTAGGCATTCATAAGTTGGCCTTTATCATTGTGTGACTATCAGAACACTTCAATCTCCTTGGTTCAAAGAGGGAAGAACACGAACCAGGGCACTATTTCACTTACAGGTGTAGGCTCATAGTAAAAAAACCGGCTGGTAGTAACCTCAAGAGACTGCGTCTACTTCTTCTGTCCCAAATCAAGATCAACTACAGCTGTATCATTGCTAACAAACCATCATCTCCAGGGACAGAAACACCAACCTGGCTAAGGCAATCTCTAAAAGCAAGCACAAGGGAGACCTGGAATACAGTTTTCCTGTGTCTGAAGTCCTCTTGCCGCAGTTTATGCCAAGTACTACTTTGCAATCCCATAACAGATTATTACTCTAGTTCTCTTTGCAGCAGCCTTTCAAATATTTGAAGACTGCTACCATAATAGTGAACTACAGATATATGCATAAAGCTCTTTCAAAGTAATTTTGAGTCAACACAGGGACATAAATTGCAAACAACTGATGTATTTTTGTCATTACAAGATCAACTGAGTGACAACTGAGTCAGAATTATCATTTCATTAGCTGAGACTGATCTATAGCAGAATCCAACAGAGGAGCATTTTCATGGCCTATGAGCCAAGTACAACGGTTAAAATACAAACCCATGAATCAGATCTGGATTTGCGTATTGTGACACTATCTGGTTTTCCCTGAACTTCACACACTCTAGAGTAAGACCAGAAGTGATTTTAGGTATTTTTAGTAATATTGTTTTGCCATCACTAAGCTGAAGAAAATGATTCTTGGCTTTGCTGCAAAATGAGTTTTGATGTATGCCAAAAATGACAAAATGGGAAATGGTTAACAGGTGATTCAATCCCCTTTCTTCTACAAATGTATTACTTCACCAGAAAACTCCCTTCCTCACTCAGCTAGACCACTGAAAAACAACACATCAATCACAAGATTGAAGAGAAGTAGAGAAACATGATGTTCTCCAAAGTGAAAGCTTATCTTTAGTTTCCACATATTTCAGTCCAGGTAGACTCCTACTTGCCTCCATATCTGAATGTGGAAAATAAAGTTAAAAAATCATTTTAACATTGCTGAAGATTTTACAGAAGTCAGAAACTCTTGTTTTTAAATGAAGTTTTCATATGAGTCATTATTCTAAACCATCATTTAAAAACTCATGGCAGAAGCATACTAGCTTTGTCAAGTCTCATACATGGGATACTCTAAATAAACCCAGAGAGATTTTCAGGCCACAAATTCTGTCCTGCCTTTAGGATCTGAGACTCTGTGAAGTTGTTCATCATTTTTACTTGCCCACTGATCTATATGTTTTTTGCTTTTCAGATGTTTGCCTCACTAAACCGAAATTGTTGCCAAATCACATCAGTTGTACATGTATAAATCTGTAAAGGAAAAACTAATTAAAAAACCCTCAACATTGTTGGAGAGAGTAACAAAAGAATGAAGTACTGTAAAAAAAATTTAAAACTATCTTTTCAGACTCCATGTAACCAAATATACCCGGCCTGTCATTCTGTGAGCCCAACCAGCACAAACCCAAGCCCAAAAGCCCCTCCTGGAAAACCCCGCTGCTCTCCTCCACCGAGCAACCGCAGCCCCTCCAAAAGCTCCAAGGCAAACACACAGGCGGGAACTCGGCTGGAGCACCACAGCCGCTCAGGACTT